ACACACACACACACACACACACACACACACACACACACACACACACACACATACACACGCACATACACACGCACAAGCAAGCATAACCCACATGCGCCCCGCACACACACACAGGATACATCATGTAGATTACATTTAAAAAACATGTCTCTCGCCTAAACATCTTCAAGATCAACTCATCTATTTCTTCCCACTCATAAAACAAGAAGTACTAAGACCACCTTTAAGTGGGGACAGCAAAGCAAATTAATTACAGGTTTCAAATCCTCACGCCTTTTTCCAACAGTCGAAACCTGTCCCCATGCAGCGGTGGTGAGACTCAGGCTATCCAAAGCTGCTAGGCCGACGGCTAAACAATAAAAAGACAGGGCCACACCATGGCAAGGGGGGGGGGGCACAGCTAGGAGGCAGCGGCATAAAGAAAGCATCAGTCAGCCAGGTTAGAATAAAGTAGCACATACTGCAATTGGAAGCTTTAATCACTTTGCCACCACAAGGCTCATGTAGGAAAAAGACCTTTCCATCAAAGGCAAAGGCATTTTGGGTAAAAATCCAAATAAACAGGGGGGGTAAACATCACCGCTCTGCGAGATGTGACGGCAAAGTGTTAAGCACAAGGGGGGCTATCCCGAAAAATGCTGTTTAGAAAAAATTGAAGGTAAAGCTTTTTATCCTTATTCAATTTCTTCAAAAAGCTAGAAAAGTTTTCTCTGTAACAAAAAGGTTTTCTTTTGTCCTGAGTCTTTGGTAGTTTTAATTAGATTTTTCAAGAAGATTGAAAAAAAAAGGCAAAAATGAAAAAAAAACAAATTGAGGAAGAACAGATTCTACAAATCAATCCAAAAGGAAAAAAATCTCGCCTTCATAAGGCTACATGCGAAGACAAGATATGGCAACAAAGAACAAGTTTTCCACACAAATATCATGAGACTAAAGAAGGGTAAAATGAAACTCAAAATGTACTATTGGGCTGTCATAACCAGGGAATGAAAAATCAAAACAATGTTTTCATTTCATTATTTGATTTCACCAGAATAGCCCATAACAAAAAAATAAAATAAAATAAAATATGAGGGAAAGAATTATTGCCCAACAGTTTGATCAGCTACAGTTCCATTAAGCAATAGAGCAGGGTAAGACTTACATTCAGAAAGCAAGATTTTCTTGAAAATTATTGCACGAAGAATCACACACACAGACTTATTTCCCACAATGGTATACACCCCCAGTTTATGTTATTAGTAAGCAAGAATATTATCTTAAAGGAGAAGTCGCACTTCCTATTAGCTCTCTCAGCACACACTCAGTTATGTTTCCACAAACGTGGGAAACTCAGAATAAATGTTTAACCCTATCCGTGCGGCCCGGGGTCATTTTGTACCCCCGGAGTTGCATTCTTCATATTTTAGAATACTTCTAGTACAAAGATCTCTTTGAAACTTTCAGTATTTCTCAAAAAATCATTTTGACAGACTGCTATGCAAAGTGTACGGATCGGATTAACGAGTAAATTTCCTCTTTGGAAAGTGGTGGTACAGAGTTCCCCACTTTGTATGGATACGGTAGTAAAACACGATGTACGGATAGGGTTAAGTATTAAGTATGCAATTTTTCTTTCTTTTTTTTTCTTTGTTAATTTTTTAAAACTGTCTTCATCCCATATGGGCTCTTCAACGTCTTCCCAAAAAGTAATTGCAAAACGTATTCATTCACTGACAACACTAATTTCCAGGAGAAAGATAAACCTAATCTGAGTCTCAGTCCCTCCACACCCCTACAAAAAAGTTCACGATACACTGAGCTAACTCAAATCATCAAAATCTTGAAAGTCTCGAATACGCTGTATCACGAAATTAGAAAAATTCACGAGACAGGAATCACTAGATCAGAGCTCATAAACGTAAAACAAGTTCTACTTCCCGCATGCGACAGGTCCTTTAAACATATCCGCACAAAATTTACACCCACCATGCACATAACATCTACTTCCCCTGGAAGCAGCAGAGGCTAGACGACAGACTATAAATAATACCTCTGTCCGCAACTAAAGCAGTAGAGGCTATAGAAGACAGATTATAAATAACATCTTGGGCCGAAACTGAAACAGCAGCGGCCAGATGACAGACTATAAATAACACCTCGGGCTACAAAGACTATAAATAACATCTCTGACTACGAAGACTGTAAATAACAGCTGGGGCCATGACTCACCTCGGAACTTGCTGAAGTCTAGGTGCGTCTCGCGTATGGAAAAGTCTGCCTGGAACGGGGCGATCTGTTCTCGCAGGATGAGCAGGTGTTTGATGAGGAACAGTTCTCCGTCCAGGACGCTTTGCTGGGGGGGACATAGAGAGCCGTGACACCATCTCTTAGTTTTGGGGAGAGTTTTACTCAGGCTTACTCTGCTCACCTCTCTAGCCTCAACAGCACAAAGTCTGCTTTGACTATCAAGGCACCCCGGAAAAAGCAGTTCACAAGAGAGTGATAAAGATACAAAAGTAGGGGGGAAATGACGATAGTAAGGATGAGGAGAGAAAAAAGCAGCAGTTCCCACTATGTTGTTCAGGCACAATATGAGCAAGACATTGATAAATCAGCCCATTTAAAATTCTACCGTGCATATGACCATGTTAATATCCCCC